AGCCCATCCGGGGACAGCTCGTGGCAGATTCAAAATCTGGCAAATATAATTATAGGCAGTTCCGTGATTTGGCTCTCCAAAGAGAGCAAATGACATTTCAGGTTAAAAACACGCATGCCTCTGTTGTGAAGTATGGTGGTGGTGCAGGTGCAGGCAAGCGAGTATTCTGGTGCCAAAAGCGTCAGGATCACACCCTCGTCGTCTTTGACGACGATACTGTGGAGAAGTGGTCGTTGGAGGCCGAGGGTGTGATGAGCAACAGTGAGTCCGGAAAGGGGGACGTCACTGCTGTCGTGGTCAATAAGGGACCGCCAGGAAAAAAGAGGAGACCGCGCTCGTTCCTGGAGCATCCCGGTATTGCAGCCGGGAAGCCCTGGGAGAAGATGGATATAGACAAAAAAACTTGGCAAGAACGGATGGACAATGCGCAGTGCCTAAAATGTGGGACTGCGGGGCATGTGATTGCATGGTGCCCGTTAATCTGGAACCCAAAAGCGAGCCGCCAGTAGGAGTAGCATCTGCTCCTACTGAGTTGAGGGGTTTAGATGATGAGAGAGGTAAGGCGCCTACTAACCCTTTCAACCCTTCGACTCGCATGGCAAAGGATGGTTCTTCTCCAACCCATCGTCCAGAACACCCTGAACCTGTCTTATGTTCTGTCTCTCTGGACGACTCCCTTGACGAGCTTGGTAACGAGTTGCTGGCATTACGAAGCTCGTGGGCCAAGAAATCGAAGTCTAAGGGTGAGTTGCTACTCGCGGATGTAGAAATAGCACATGCACGGGCAGATGCACTGTTAGACTCAGGATCTACCCGATCCTACATATCCAAGAAAGCAATCCGCAAATTGCATCTTGGAATGAAGGTAAAGAATCTATCTCGACCTATCACGTCTATCCTAGCTGACAAGAGCACGATTACTGTCTCACAATATGTCGATCGTGTGAAATGCTAATTCCGTACGAGGGACGGAAATAAGATTATGCATGATATTTATTTTCTTGTGGAGAAAAACTTACCGTTTGACATGATTCTGGGTATGGATTGGCACGAGGAAACCAACCCAGACATCAAGTTCAAAGATAAGATTGTGCAATTGCGGGACGCACAATCAGAACTAAAAACCATCAAATTATATCATAAGTCTGGCTTTTACTCTAGTTTATCTTTTTGTTGCATGAGTTACCCAACTTTTCGTTCGATGGTTGTAAAGAAGAAATTGGAACAGGAAGTAATGATGGTCCTTGTGAAACAAGTTGGTGAGTCCTCTACTTCCTATCCACCTTCGATTGAAAAACTCCTAGACGAGTATAAAGATCTATTAATTGAACCAACAGGAACGACTGAGCGTGTCATAAAGCACACCATTGAGATTATTCATGGCAGTAAGACTCCCAAGGGCCCTATTTATAGAATGTCTCCTAGGGAACTTGAGGAAGTGAGGAAACAACTCCAGGACTTAACTGAGAAAGGATTGATTCGCCCTAGCTCTTTTCCTTATGGCGCTCCTGTCTTGTTTGTGCCTAAAAAGGAAGGTGAGTTACGTCTTTGCATTGATTATAGAGGGTTGAACTCTGTCACTGTCCAAAATGTCGAACCCCTACCGCGTATTGACGACTTGTTGGACCAGTTGCAGGGCTGCAAGTACTTTAGCAAGATTGATCTAAAGTCTGGATACCACCAGATCGAGGTGGATCCCGCAGATCAACACAAGACTGCTTTCCGAACAAGGTATGGTCACTACGAGTTCGTGGTAATGCCTTTCAGACTGACGAATGCCCCAGCGACCTTCCAAAGGTCCATGAATGAATTATTCCGTCAGTGGTTGGACCAGTTCGTCATTGTGTATCTTACCTAGGGCATATAGTGAACGAAGATGGTCTAAGGCCAGAGGAAAAGAAGATATCAGCAATTAGAGATTGGCCACAACCTAAGTCTATCACCGAATTACGCTCTTTTCTTGGTTTGGCAAGTTACTATAGGAAGTTTGTTAGGAACTTCTCACTGATCGCCGCACCAATGAGGAAATTGCTAAAGAAAGGAACTGTACGGTTGTGGGATAAGTACTGTGAGTCTGCATTTAAGAAACTAAAGTATGCATTGACCCACTATCCTTTCTGAAAATTGCTGACCCATCTTTTTCCTTTATTGTTACAACTGACGCAAGTCAGTACGGAATGGGCGTCGTCCTTCAACAGGACGATGGCAAAGGTTACAGACCAGTTGAATTTATGTCTGCCCGATTGCCCACTGAAAAAGTTGCCAACTCCACATATGAAAGGGAATTGTATGCCTTAGTCTGTGCTATGAAAACCTGGAAGCACTACTTGTTAGGGAGGCACTTCACTGTGTACTCAGACCACTCTACCTTGCAGTGGATAAAGACACAGCCTAAGCTCTTTGACAAACTGGTACGATGGTCTGTTTTTTTTTATACCTTTGACTTTGAACTGAAAACATCAAAGGAAAGTCTAACGTGGTTGCAGATGCATTGTCTAGGCGAAGTGACTTCTTCGAGACTATTGTCTCTTATTTGGATGTGGGGAGTGATTTGAAGGAAAAAATTCGCCAAGGGTATGCTAGTGATCCTATCTGGAAGCCTATCCTTGACACTATTGTCAAAGACCCATCTCTACTTCCCAACTACAAAATAGCCGATGGTTTGCTTTTCTTGATTGACCAAACTGAACAAAGACTCTGTATCCCTCACAAAGAAGAGATTAAGAGTCTAGTGATTGGAGAATGTCATGACTTTGAGGGGCACTTTGGGTTCAAGAAAACTTACGCTGAGGTCAGAGAACGCTTCGAGTGGAAGGGACTGAAGGAAGATGTACTAACCTACGTTCGTACCTGTCTGATGTGCCAGAGAAACAAACCTTCACACGAGAACCCTCTTGGTCTACTGAGACCATTACCGATTCCGAGTGAACCAGGTGAGTCTATCTCAATGGACTTCATGAGTCTCACAAAGAGCCGCAATGACAATAGTCAAGTGATGGTTATTGTTGACCGTTTCTCTAAGTATGCTATGTTTGTTCCCTTACCTGCTGAAGCACGGACTGAACTTGTGATTAAGAAATTTCAGATGCGATGGGTGACTGAATATGGTTTTCCCTTATCTATTGTGTCTGATCGAGATGCGAGATTCACAAGTATGCCATGGCAAAAGCTGATGGAGGCATACAGTACTCGTTTGACCATGTCATCAGGGAGACACCCTGAAACGAATGGGCAAAGTGAGCAGATGAACCGCTTGTGCCAACAGCTCTTGCGTATGTACGTAAGACCCGATCAGATCGATTGGGACGATAACTTACCCAAAATAGCCAGTGCATATAATTGCAGTGTTCATACTGCAACTGGACGTACACCTAATGCACTGCACAAGGGGTGGAAACCGAGGCGTCCCATTGATGTATTAACACGGGACCAATTTATCAGGTTACCGCCAGGGACTCGTGAATATGCAGTATTATTTCAAGAAGACATTAAGAAAGTGAAAGAGAACCTAAAGAAAGCTCAAGAACAAATGATAGACCAAGCTAATAAGCATCGCCGACCATCGACATTCAAGGTAGGTGATTTAGTCTGGGTCAAGTCTAAAGAGTTCTCACTAGAAGAAGATGTGTCTCAGAAAATCCTGCCTGTCTATTTTGGATGCTGGGAAGTTCTCAAAGTCATTGGGGATGCTGAGGGACCGTCTTATCGCATTGATATTCCCCCTCATGGGCCTCATCTTAAGACTTATCATGTCTTTCATGCGTCTAAACTATTGCCTTATGTAGAAGGAAATGATTTTCCTAACAGACCCTCTATGATTCCACCATCAATGGAAGGAAGCTATGAAGTCGACAGAATCATAGAATATGGGTTCTTTTCTACAGGAGCACGCGGACGTCCTCAGAAACAGTTCAAGGTACGTTTCAAATCTGAGGACCGATGGTTCAGCAAGAAGGAACTACTTGAGACTGCTTTTGACATCGTTGCTGCTTATGAACGAGGGTTAAACTCTTAATTATTTATGCGGTGGAACTCGAAAATGGGACGGCAGGAATGTAGCAACCCTGTTCCGAAGTAGCCCGGGGCCCAGAACTCAGCCCCAGGCCATGCAGACCAGAATTGGTCTGCGCTGGGCTGTGTGACCAACACATGCCCAGAACTGAGAAGGCCACACGTGGTTGTGGGACCAAGTGCTAAGATCAGGAAATTCAAGAGTCAAAGTCAACTGTCAAGTCAAAGGTACCWCGCCAGGCCCTTGGTTGGATACATCCACTTGTTGTGCGCAGGTACCAAGACATGCATCCAGGCCGAAGAGGATACAGTTTCAGATCGATCCAGGCCCTTTCCGGTGTCAAAATCTGGACGGCGGGAGTCTGCAGCAGCCGGGGTCCAGACCCCGAGTCAACACTACATAAGCGTGGACTCTCTGGGTTTGACGGTCATTGTTTTTGTCTTGCGTTGACGCTGCTCTACGCGTTGACGGCATGTCACTGGCTGGACGCTGCGATGCTGGTGGACGCTGGCATTATACTGGCATTGGCGAGATAGTGGCAACACGCTGCTGGCTGGTGCGCTGACTGGCTGGCTACTGTCTTCAAGGCTTGTTGACGTGGCATTGCCACGTGTTCCTGCTGACGTGGCTGCTGCCACATTTGACATTGCCGGGTCTACAGGACCGACATTGTTGTTCTATTCTATCATCACTTCAGGGAGATATCAAGGCTGTTTCATCGTCAGTTCAGGAGGAGATTGAGACTGTGAGGAGGTTGTGGATACGTACCTGGGATCTTCATGTCAATGTGACTCCAGCGCTGATGAGAGGTTGATTGGGTGCCACGTGGCACATTGTAACAGGACTTCGATATGTGTTCAAATTACTGTTTATTGTGAGGTTGCGATCAAGGAAGGAGCCCGGAGAAAGAGTGGGTATTGTATCTTCCTCTCCTTTGTCTTATCTCCCTCCTTCCTCTTCGTTTGTGTATGATTATCTCACCTCTCTCTTTCTGGATACTATTTGATTATTGAAAACTATCAGCGGCTCGGTAATCTGGACTTGCACTGTTGATATTCGTATTCCTGACTTGGGTTCATTGCATACACACTGCCTCCACATAAATCCCCAAATTCCTTTTATCCTTTCCTTTTTCAAAAAAAAAATAAAAAAAAATTCCTCCTTGAAATTTATTTAATTCTTTTTCGACATTTTGTAAATTCGGAATTTTTTTTCCCTCTTTGGAAAACCTTGGCAATTATCTTTATTTATTGATCAATAAATAAGGGATTGCCCCCCCCCACCTCCACATGCCACCACGCCAAACCAAGAACTCCCAACGTGTCGCCGCCGTCGCCGCTGCTGTCGCCACCACCACTGCTGTTGCATCCTCCACACCCGTTCAGGCCACGTCCTCCACCCCCTCTTCCCCCGACATGGCCGCATCCTCCATCAACATGTATGACATCCGCACCGACTCAGTCGATAGCATCGCCCACAACCTCGCAGGCGAACAACCACCAGCAAACGCCACCATCCCCGACCTCTTCGCCATCCTCCACGCACTCAACACCCTTTGAACCTCCGTCACCGCCTCTCTCAATGACATAAAGGGCAACGTGTCGTCCATATGCGACCGTGTCACCACGATCGAAGGGACCATACCCTCCATCACAATCGTCACCATCGCGCAAACTACTCCCTCCTCCACAGCGCAAACCACTCCCTCCTCCACAGCCGCCTCCAGCAACACCCCCCCGCCGACCTCCTCCACTCCTACCACCTCTACCACCTCTACCACCACATCCACCAACCCTTCAACCTCCACCACCGTTCCGTTCTCTCCACCTCCTTCCTCATACGGCGCATCCAGCACACCGCCTCATTCCTCTCCCATCCACGTCACCCCTCTTTCCCCCCCGCACTCCCAAACCCTCTCCCAACCCATCATGACCATCTCCACCATCCCCACCATCCGTCCCACCTATTCCCAAGTCACCTCCGGGATTTACCCCGCAATGCCACAACTCCCCCCAACTACCTCCTTGAGGACAACAACCAAATCGACCACACCTGCTACGACACCACCCCCGATAACCTCAGCTTCAATACCCTCGCTCAGATCGTTCACCGAGACGGGGAAATCCCCCGTTCCTTCCGATCTGGCGAAATCATGTCCTTCTTCGGCCTCCCCCACGAGGACGTTTTCCTCTACCTAACCCAGCTTCAGAACTCTTTTCACCTCCACCACATGCCCCTTGCCCACTAGCTCCCCGTTGCCACCTCCCGCCTCCTCGGCAATGCAGCCAAATGGTGGATGGCTGAAGCTAGCAACCGCCGAGCCTCCGGAGGGCCACGTCACACCTTCCTCCAATGGACCAACCTTCTCACTACCACCTTCCGCCCCCAGAAAACCATTGATGACTACTTGAACAATTCTGCCACCTCCGGCAGACCGGTCCCACGGACCGCTTCGTCCAATACGCCCGCTCCCTCCGCCACCACCTCCCCCACACCATCATTCCCAACTTTGTGTTCATCTCCCGCATCAAACGAGTATGCCACAAAGACCTTGCAACCGCCCTCGCTCACGAACTCGACATGCCCCTTGCTGGCTTCCTCTCTCGCATGCTTCACCACGATCGACTCCTCCACCCCCACCACCAACCCCCACCCGGCACCTCCCGCACTCGCTTTTTCCACCACATCACCCCCGAAGACACCACCTCCATCACTTCCTCCGACGAGTTCACCACACCTGACCCCGACGCATCTTCTGATTCACTCGACTCTTCATCCCTCACTTCTGAGGAACTCGGTGTCGTCCAATTCATGAGAATGGAGCGTAGAGATCGCAGCTCCCGACCACCCTCATCCACCCCACCCTCCCGCCTCAAGAAACTCACCCCCGAGGAGCGCACCTACCTCCAAGCAAAAGGGGGTTGCTTCTGTTGTCGCCAATTGGGGCACCAACAAACCAACTGCCCCAACGCCGCACGATTCACCCACCAGTCCGCCTCCACTCGACCCGCAACCTCCGCATCACCACCCTCGGCAAGCGCAGGCCCCTCCTCATCATGAACACAGTCCCCAGGACACTGACCCGGCATCGACATCGCGTCTGTCGGCCCACCCATCGGTGATGTCCTTCGTCCCACCGATGGCCCATCTGGCATCGACAATTCGTCTGCCCTCTCCAGCGACGCCCCCTCCACCAAACGACTCCCAAGTGTCGCAAACGCCTCCCACTGCCTCATGCTCCTCTACCCTTCTTCCAAACCCATCCACTATCACCTTCTCCGATGTTGTTGAGGAACAAGCCCGACACGATCGGTTTGTCCGCTTAGGCAACAAACAACGCCGCCTCAACACCATCCTCTCCACTGCCAACTCATCTCGTTTCCACCTCAAATTCATCGCTGCACCCTTGGTGCGTCTACAACTAAGTTTCGGGCCCTCCTCGACATTGGAGCCACCGGTAACTTCATCACCGACGCGTGTGTCTGCAAAGCCGGTCTTACCTCTACTGGTTATGACTCCCCGATCACGATTCGCCTAGGGGACAAAGACACCACTGTTGTAGTAGACCACACGGTTCCCGAGACCACCATGACCGTCGGAACCCTCCGCAGTCAGGTCTCGTTTGATGTCATGCACTTGATGTGCGACATCGTCTTAGGAACCTCGTGGCTGGACCGCTACATGCCATATGCATTCCACCCCAACTTCCTTCGCCTCACCAAACCCCCTGACACAACCATCGACATCCCCTATCTCCCATATTCGACCTCCCAAGGCTCTTTCACCCCGCACCAATTCCTCCACATAACTCACCTAAACCCCGACTCCGCCTACTACTGTCTTGTCCTTGATCGCGAAAGTCCCAAGGACTTACTCTCGACGGACAAACCCAATCAAGCCCCCCCCTCCAACCCCGCCATCACCTCAATCCTCGACGAGTTCAGGGACGTCTTTCCCGAGTCATTACCCGCCGGATTACCCCATACCATCGATTTGGAACCCGGACATTCTCCACCTTGCCGCCCTCCATACCAACTCTCTGTCCTTGAAGCCAAAGAAATGAAGCGGCAACTCGGTGAACTCCTTGAAAAAGGGTTCATTAAGCCAAGTTCATCCCCCTTCGGAACCAGCTGCCTTTTCGTCAAGAAAGGTGGAACTTCGGAACTCCGCATGTGCACAGACTACCGCGCCTTGAACTGGATCACGAACAAGAACAAGTACCCCCTACCTCGGATTTTCGAGCTCCTTGATCGTCTCTGTGGAGCCAAGTACTTTACCAAGATCGACCTTCGCAGTGGCTTCCACCAGATCCGTATCCGCGAGGAGGACACCCACAAGACTGCCTTCCGCTCTCGGTTCGGGCACTACGAGTTCCTCGTGATGCCATTCGGACTCACCAATGCCCCTGCTACCTTCCCATCTACCATGAACCACATCTTCCGCAACCTCCTCGAAGTCTGTGTCGCCGTCTACCTTGATGACATCCTTGTCTTCAGCCCCACCTTCGAGTCCCACCTTCAGCACCTCCGCCAAGTCCTCTCGATCCTCCGAGAGCAAAAATTATATGCCAAGCTCAGCAAATGTACTTTTGTCGCTTCGAGCGTCGAATACCTCGACCATATTGTCTCCGCTGAAGGCATCCGTATGGACCCCTCGAAGGTCACAACCCTCGTCGAGTACCCCCCGCCCAAGACCCTCCTCCAACTTCGTTCCTTCCTCGGCCTTGCCAACTATTACCGCTTGTTCATTCGCAACTTTTTCGAGATCTCTCACCCTCTCCACGAACTTACCCGCAAGGACGAGCCCTTCCATTAGAACGATCGTCGCCAACACGCTTTCAACTTACGCAAGCAAACCATCACCACGGCCCCTGTCCTCAAGATCGCCGACCCCACTCGCCATTTCTATGTCACCACTGACGCCTCCGACTTCGCCATCGGAGCCGTACTGTCCTAACATTTCCCCCGCGACACCACCGAGACCCCCTCCATCAAGGACTCGCCCACTCACCCCGAGGCTCCACCTGGCGAATACCCCATCGCCTTCGCAAGCAAGAAGCTCCTTCCCGCGGAGATGAATTACCCCTCCAACAAGAAGGAACTCCTCGTCGTGATTCACGCCCTCACAGTCTGGCGCCCGTACCTCGACGGGCAATACTTCACCATCCGCACTGACAACACCATCGTCTCCTCCATCCTCTCCAAGAAAGATATCACTCCTCACCAAGCCCGCTGGCTAGACTTCCTTGCCGAGTTCACATTCATCATTTGCCATACCCCCGGCGAAAGCAACCACGTTGCGGATGCCCTCTCTCGACGACCCGACCACAAGCCCCCCGAGAAAGTCTACGCCACCATGACGCATATCCAACTCCTTCCATCACTTCATCATAGATACACCCAAGGCTATCTCTCCTGCTCAGACTTCGCCACCATTTACAACAAGCTCCACGATCTTGACCCAGTTCCCGACTTACCCAGTAGAACTTAAACAGAAGTCCCCTGTTCCCTGAACTTTGTTCCCCCTTAACCTATAGCAAATCATGCAGTCCCCTTAGTTCATCAGTAGGACTACCTTGCTCCCTGCTGTCCCTATAGTTCATTCGTAGGACTACCCTGTTCCCTGCAACCCCCCTAGTTCATCAGTAGGACAACTCTGTTCACCGGTACCAAACCCTGTTCCCTCTTACTCACGGAGCCCATGCCACCCACATTATACCCCTCTTCCCTTTCGACTTGTTAACCAGTGATCGGCCCCGTCCCGTCCTTCACAGATTTCAGCATTGCTTCATGATTTTTGGCAGCCACGACGTTGCCTTCTAGAGGGAGGGGATAGTGTGACGGACTCCGCCAGGGCTCGATCCCTGGTCTATCTTTTGCTGTTTCGGCTGCATCCCGTTTTTGGCCTGGCACCCTTTTTCCAAACCCCTCCTTTGGTACCGTAGGATTTTGGACAACTGGCGCCATGCTGCAATTCGGGCGTCACTTTCAAATACCGCATTTTTCAGTTCTGCCCTCGGGGCCTTTGCATAAATGCCCCTGGTACCGTACGTGTCACCGGTACTTATACCGGCTCCCCGTACGGTACGGGGACCAGTCTCGGTACCAGTTTTCTGCTGTTGTACCCGTATTCAGTGTGACTTGCTGTTTCGACATTCGGAATCCAAGACTTTGACTTTGTGCCTTGCCACTGTGTCTGCGTCCGACCCTTGGTCGTGTCGAGTGAGTGAGTGTGTGTGTGTGCTTTCACTCTCTCCCTCTCTCTTTCTCCTCTCCCTCGGCTCTCCCTCAGCCTCACGCCCGTCACAATTGGGATCTCCATTTGAGTCGTGCACAACTTGTGTATAACACGTTTGTACACTTCTCTACGGGCTTCACACCCTATCGGTTACACTGGGGTCATGAGCCACGACAGCCTCTCGATAACATCATCGATAAGGCTACCCCTACGCTGACACCTGGAACTGCAGAGTTCACCAGGCGTTACCGTGTGGACATAGAGCGCGCCTGTGCTAACCTGTTGAAAGCCCCAAAGGCTATGATTCAGAAGGCTAATAAGCACATGCATCCTTCTACTATTCGCACAGGTGACTGGGTGTGGGTACTCAGTTCTGAGCTGCCGCGAGAGGAGGATATTTCGCATAAGTTGCTGCCACGATACATGGGTCCATGGCATGTCTTAGATACAGTGGGAGCTGATCCATTTGGACCATCCTATACAGTGGATGTCCCTCTGCATCTACAAACCTACCCTATCTTTCATGCATCTAAGCTGTTGCCGTTCACGCCAGCTGATGCATTCCCAGACAGGCCTCCTCGGTTCAGTCCCCCTATCCCTGGCAAAGGGTATGAGGTCGAAACTGTGGAGGATGAGTCAAGTACAGGTCCAGATAAGGAGTACCTTCTGAAGTTCTTGTACCAGCCACATACGGAGGACCACTGGTTTACTCGCAAGGAACTTCTGAAGACGGCCAAGTCTGCAATCCTCAAGTACGAGGCAGCACAGAAGGGAGTCTCCCTTCGGCGCTCTGCACGCCTACGCCCCTAGCTCGGAGGTCCTCGCTCTGGGGGAGGGTAGGTCTGCAATGACTTGCTGTTTTCTGGTCGCCTGTAGCCTCTCTCTGTCAAGGCTGTAGTATAGGTAGGATAGATTCACAATTTTTTTTTGGCTGAGGGCTAACCGAGAGACCTACTTGTGAGGGAAATTCGTGAGGGACATATCTGCAAATCCGGGAAAATATGTAGGCCCGGTACTAACCGAGTTCCCTACCGCTACCCTAACTGCGAATAGCAGGCCCGGGCTACCCCTAGGACAGACAGGCCCTAAGGGCCTATTTTGATAGACGGTCCTATAGCCTATAGCCGGGTCCGGTAGAGGCCGAGAGGCCGAAACAGAAACGGTACCGGTCGGTCAGTCAGTCCGGTCTAGGTCGAGTCTAGGCTAGTGTAGTATAGATAGGATGGGCACATCGGTTCAGGGCTTTTGGCAGTTGGTACCGAGTACATCGCTGTTGTGCTACCCGTGAACCGGAAGTGGTGACGGCTCAGCGTGGAAGGAGACGGGCATAGCCAGACCTGCGGAGCGCCGGCCATAGCTGGGACCTGCGCTGTACTCTGCCAGCACGCAGGGGCCGACAGAGGTCTGGGTTATCGAGGTCTGTTGGAGGCGAGAGAGATTGGTGCCCTGTTGGACCCTCCTCCGGAGTGGGGTTCCAGGGTGTTGGCGTTGCAGCCATAGCTGCAGCTTCCTTCCTCAGAGGTCATCTTGTCAGGGTTTGGTGGCGCTGCTGCAGACTTCCACCCGGGAAGTCTTCGGACACTTCGTCATCATCGGATACTGTGGCGCTGGTCTTCTTCTTCATCCTCTAAGTGGCGCTTGACCTCAGAGGCCTGTTTCAAGGTGGCGCTTCCCTCAGGAGGCTGTATCTGGGTGGCGCTTGATGTTTCAGGGGCTCAGGGGTGTTACGGGTGCTAATCAGGGTTGGGGAGTGAAGCGCTGCTCATTTCTGAGCAGCGCACTGTAGTTCTGAAGTTATCCTGACAATTCGAGACTCTGAGTTTAATAAAGAGTGCATAACTGGGTTTGGACTATCATCGTTTCATTGTTTCCTGGATGTGATCTGCTCGGCTTTTCTCTATGACTGGTTGTGAGGATTGACTGGAGTGCATTGCACTTTCAGTGTACCCTGTCATATCGCATGGTCAAGTCTTCCGCTGTGTTTATCTCTCCCTGTGCGGTGTGATACTCCTGTCCTCTCCCCTTCCCTCTGTGTATGTATGGGCATACCTGGAAGTCTACGTGAGTGAGTGTTGGTCTTCAGACAACAGACAACCAAAATCATAACACCTAAATGGTGTAATGACCCGCCAAAAACACAGACTGAGAACATTGCTGATTTATGGGATTTGCTGCTGGAATGAATGCCTTGCTGAAATTCCCGCATTCTGCTGTGATTTCCATGTGTGTGTGTGTGTGCGTGCCTGCTGGTCTGCATGCCTGTCTGAGTGTTTGTCGGTTGAGTGTGTGTGTGACCCACAAGGGTACTTGTTGGTTGAAAGGCCCCGCAGCGCCGATACTTACCTGTGGCCGTGACAGTGAAGGGTTGCAGGGGGGAAAACACTTGAGTAGCGGGGGTAGGCCCGCAGCACTTAGAGCAGAGGGGAAAAACACTCAAGTAGCAGGTAGGCCGGTACCACTGAAGTAGTGGTAGAAGTGTCGGGTACTAGAGGCCGAGCAGAGGCAGACAAAAAGTTGGCATTTTTAGAGGCCCAGTAGCGGTAGGCTAGAGGTAGGCCGGTACCAGTCCAAGTAGCCCAGGTCTAGGGCCTGTCCGGAGGTTAGCAGAGCCTGCAATGATGTTTCCCTCCGAAAGGGAGGAGGTACCGGTTGCTGGGAGGCCGCTCGGCCTAGGAAGTCACCGCCCAGGAGGCCAGTAGGCCGCTATATCTTTCGGAGGAGCAAGTAGCTCCTCCTCATTTGCGGTGTGCAAGGATTGGCAACATGCGGCTGGAGCACAGCGCTGGACTTGTACAGCGCTGCTTGGAGGTGAAGGGCAGCTGGAGCTCAGCCTGGCTATGGCGAGCAGTCCAGCTTGAGGAGGAGGAAGAAGGGGGCGAAGGAGGAGAGTGGCGAGGCACTTACGTGGCTATGGTGGACACCATCTTCATCACCTTGTTGGGCGCTACATCTGGAAGGCCCCAGTTGGGGTAGTGCTGCACCAAGGAAGCTCGAGGCAGAGCCAGGCATGGCGGACCAGTCAGCAGCGGCATAGCTGCTCTGGGTTGTCCTTTGGACATCAGTGCAGCACCATAGCTGCTTTGGGTTGTCCTTTGGACATCAGCGCAGCACCATAGCTGCTTTGGGTTGTCCTTTGGACATCAGCGCAGCACCATAGCTGCTTGGGGTTGTCTTTTGGACAGGAGGGCAGGGCCCTCATTAGTCCGCCATAGCCTATGCATGAGAGAGGAGGCTGAAGGAGGGAAGCCATAGCTATGGTGGACTTGTTGTTGTTGTTGTTGTTGTTGTTGTTGTTGTTGTTGAGTTGAGTCAGCAGTAAGAGGGAACTTTGGATATTGATTCTGGTTCATCCATTCATTGTTATTATTATTATTGAGAGAAGAAAAAGATTGGCCAAGTGAAGGAGGAGGAGGAAGGTGGAGAGAGAAGGGGGAAATTGTCATTGGTCTTGTTGGTGCATATCTTCTTCTTCTTCTTCTTCTTCTTCTTCTTTCTCTCTCCTCTGGTCTTTATCTCTTTGCAAGTGCTTTCATTTCTTTCGCAATTGGGTGGCATTGTCTTTCATTGTGAATTTGCACTTGGGAAATGACCAGGATCGTAACAATTAGTATCAGAGCGGACTTACTCGCTGGCGAGAGGTGTTAGTCACCATAAACCTAAATCCGAATTAGGTTAGGGCTAACCTAATCTCGAATTAGGGTTAGGAAGTTAGGGTTAAGTGGGGCAGTGAGGTATGTGGATATTGCCCCCACCTGGTTAGGTCATGTAGGGTCGACATCAGACCTGACCAGGTTGCTTGAGTGATTGGATGGGGTGGTGAGACACAATGGAGGCTGATTGGAGTAAGCGAGAGGGAGTAGAGAGTGAGAGGTACTCGCACCTGGAATCTGCACTTCAAGAAGACATTGAGTGACTTTTGGGCTTCCCCTCAAGAGGGAGACTTGATCGGAGGCTGCCATATCTGCATCGAATTGCTGCAATTTGCTACTTTGGTCTTCAGACATCGACGGGGGATCCGGCTTTGCAACAGGGGTGTAGGAAGGCCCTCTTAGTCATGCTAGGACACTTCGTGTAGTGGTAGCTAGGGGTCAGGAGAACTTATGAGAGAGGGGGGTGAGTCATTATCCATCTTTGGAGGCCGGGCCTCACAGGTAAGTGTCGTGTGACCTGGTTATGCCCGTGGGAGGTTGCTTGGTGCTTCATGGCCTGTTGGGGTGTGCTGGGTTCTCTTCCTCTTCTCTGCGGTCTTGGTTGTATGTGTGAGCATGTGGATTGCTTTCTCACCTTATGGATGGATGGATGATGTATCTGTTCTAAATGACATATCTTTCTACGGTGCAACGTCTTTTCATTTTTGAATGGTTGTAGGGGTAAGTTCTTGCTAAAAGTTGTTTTTTCCTTTTCAATACGGTAGAGGCAGTTTGGGACTGACTTGGTACCCCTATCTCGTTGGTCCTAGTCCATGACCTACTTGGGACCTTTGGGACTCAGTGGGACTAGGCCCAACGGGGCAGGACCTTTCAGGCCCAGATCTGTTGCCGCCAGTGCATCTCTTTGCTGTGCTGAACTTGGGGGACATACGGCTAGCAAGGGCATTCCTTTCAGGGGGATCTTGACTGGTCTTACTGCATGTTGCCACATACTGCCCCGCGTCTGGCTCGTTGACTGTCTGCACCCCTCGAAATCTCCATTGCTGCAGTTAGTTTTCTTCGGCTGATTTATTGTGGTATGTGTACCCTGTCAGGTTAGACATGAGGGGATCTCCAGCTAATCTGATCGGGCCCGTTCGATAAGTCAGTCCTCTCTTCCGTTTATTTTTTTTTTATTATTACTATTCTTTCCTTTATTCTGCTACGTGCCATTCTCCAAGTCCAAATGAATTGTCGCTCCGGCTAGGAGTTCTACCTTCTACTCTGTGTGATTTACAGATTGTTTCTTTCATCTGAACTATCTATATCCGGTATTGAGACACGTGCGCAGACAGCGGGAAGAGAGAGAAGGGAGAGAAAAGGTGTTTTGTTTGAGAGTGTGAGGAAGGGCAAGAGGAGTGTTCGTCCAAACGTGAGGAGAGAGCGGACCCCTCTTCAGAGATCTACTAACACCCCTTCCTCCGGCATGGCGGACATCACATTTGCCCAATGGCAGGCCATGCTGGACGCAGCGGACGAGAACGAGAAACCGTTCTTGCAAAAGCTTTATGACGATGCCGTGCAGAGGGAGAGAGAGGCAGAGGCAGCAGCCAGAGCCACAAGCATTGCTGATCACGTGGCCCTCCTGCAGGTCCCGGAAGCTAATGCTGACCGGATCCAAGAAAGGTTAGCTGCTGTCGTAGCAGCCTTGGTTCGACTGCGGACCTTGGAAGACCTTGAGTCCCGTGTGACAGCACTGGAGCAGCGGAACCAAGAGCTGCAGGCTGAGATACTCAGCCTTAAACAGTCCCAATTGTTTGCCCCTTGTCCTCCTAACCCTCGACCTGCTGCAGTCCCAGTCTCTCAATCTAGCATAGTCCTCACGACAAAAGCAAGTGGAACTGTGATGCGCGCAGGAACCGGTGCCAGCTCCTCAAGCGATAGCGCCGACAGTTCTGCACTAGTCATAGTCCCAAATGCAGGGACATCAGTCCAAAACGCCACAGTTCTTACTGGCGTGCAGTACAGCGGTCCCATAGTGGACAAGCTGGCGGCCACTTTGCCATCCAAGTACGACGGGAAAGGGGACATCACCTCTTGGATTAGCTCCATGCGCTCATACTTTGAGGTACTGCGAACACTGCAAAAAAACCGAAGCATGATCATGGGCACTAATACCGAGCCTGCCGTACGGAATTTCATTGAGCTCCAAGCTGTTACAGCAGGTTATGAGAGAATTGACCTGACTGAGTGGATGAAAGTAACTCCCGTACGCACTCTTGAGGACATTCTCATCACACGGTACCAAGATAAGCACGCTGCGCTCAAGGCAAGACTGAAGCTTGAGGCCCTCAAGTGCCAAACATGGAGGACCTCCATGCAGGCTTTGGAACAACACTTGACTGGTCTGTTCACCACTCCAGACCTGGGAGTGACCGACGTGTCTTGCATGGATGTAGTCATGGGAGTGGCCCCTAAAGAATACCTCTCCCTGCTAGGACTCAAAGACCATACCACTTGGCGAGAGCTCATGACGGATCTAGTCAACCTAGAGGCCAAGGACCTCGCCAGGCGTAAAAAGGCACCCGCTGCAGGTGGAAAATCACAACGCAAGCGGTATGGAAGCAGCAACCAGCTTGCCCTGCATGAACATCGGGAGGCTGAAGATCAGTCCTACGCGGATGATCTGTCTCTAGATGACGATCTAGAGCCGGACTCCGATACGGGTTGTTCTACATCAGTCGTTGAGTCTGACGTGAACGAAGATGAGAAACTTAATGCTTTCAAAAAGACTGCTTCAAGTAAGGGGCCTAACCGTGGTTCGGGTAGGGGAACTATTGCACACCTCCCCAAGAATGCGAAGATCCCTGAGAAACCGGAGGACGCTTCTACCAAGCCTTGGGAAGCCCTCCGCATCAGTCAAAAAGAATAAGAAAGAAGRTCCAAACTGCGCGTATGCTTGCATTGTCAAAAGCCTGGGCATGTTGTGCAAGACTACTATCATCTGCAGGGAAACAGGCAAAGGGCATAGAAGAGTCATCAGCACTCTCTACAATAAGGGAAGCTGAAGCGTCAGTTGCAGGCCCCTCCAAGGAGCCAGAATCTAATCAACGGCCTGCCCCTAAAGCCCGGAGCGACGCTGAATCCAAGGCTGTTGCAGTTTATGTACTGTACACTGAGCCTTGGGAGGAGTCTAAGGAAGTTGACTTCCACGCTCACCTGGAACATTGGCTGCAGCTCAAGCAGCAACACCGTGTTCAAGGAAGTGTGGAGCTAACCTTCTTTAAACTACTCATTAACCGCCGATACATCCGCGTGCTGATTGACAGTGGTTCAACCACCAATTTATTTTCTCCTAACGGGATTCGTAAGGCGGGCCTGGGAATGAAGCTAGTGGAATTGCAGAACCCTTGCCGGACCCAGGTGGGCAACCAAGAGGTTGTCACCTCCACACATGCCGTCAAAGGTGTGCGAGTCACCTTTGACAAGGACCGCACTGTCACACATGAGCTCAACTTTCATGTCATGGACAAGTGTCCGTTCGACGCGGTCATTGGCTTGGGCTGGCTAAAGGCTCATTGCCTAAGAACCACGTGGGCGGATAATCAGTTCGTGGTGCGTGATGCCAAGGGGAACGAGCGTACCGTTCTATTGGACGAGACGAGCAAGTCCCTTGTGACTCTTTTAAGTGCAACCAAATTCTGCAAATCAGTGCGCAGGTGCAAGGAAGCTGGACATGTACATATAGCTCTTGTAAAGCCTCTCCATGTGCCTTCTACTTTTGCTGCATTTTCTACCTCGGTAAGTAATTCTACTTCTACCACCTCTACTTCTATTCCATCTACTTCTACTGTAGATAATCCCTCTACTTCTGATCCAAGTACTTCAAATCCGGTTGTAATTGCTGTAAATTCTCAATCTGATTTTTTTTCTCCTGATGAGGATGATCCTCCACCGTAAGTCCCAACAAACATTCGCCGGCTATTAGATCGATTCCCTGAAGTTTTGGTCGAACCTCGTGGAGTTCCCGAGCGTCCGGTCAAACACAAGATCGAGATAATAGAAGGGAGTGTTCCTCCAAAGGGTTGCGTCTACCGTATGGGACAAGGCGAGTTGGGGGAGTTGAGGAGGCAGATTGATGACATGATCGACCGTGGATGGATTAGGCCTAGTGAGTCTGAGTTCGGTGCACCTGTCTCGTTTGTACCTAAGAAAGGAGGCAAACTCCGGATGTGCATTGACTATCGTGGCCTGAATCGGATCACCCGAAAGAATGTTTATCCTTTGCCTCGCATAGATGATTTGCTAGATGCGGCAGGTGGGTGCAAGGTCTTCTCCAAGATCGACCTCAAGTCTGGCTACCACCAGATTGAAGTAGATCCGAGTGACAAGCACAAAACTGTATTCAAAACACGCGATGGGTTGTACGAATTCATCGTTATGCCTTTCGGTCTGACGAATGCACCAGCCACATTTCAGTGCCTCATGGACAAGGTTCTCCGCCATCAGCTGAACAGGTTTGTTGTTGTTTATCTCGATGACATTCTGATTTTCAGCAAGTCCATGAAAGAGCACGTCAAGCACCTTGAGGAGGTTTTGCAGGTCCTCAAGGAGGCGCAACTCCACCTCAACTTAGAGAAATCTGAGTTTGGAAGGGATAGCGTCATCTATCTTGGGCACGGGTTGTCTGCAGACGACCTTGAGCCGGAGGCAACCAAGGTTGAGGTCATCCGAAAGTGGCCTTAACCAGCGAACGTACGCGAACTGCGTTCTTTTCTTGGTTTGGCCTCATATTGCCGGAAGTTTGTGCCCAAATTTCCGGTCATCGCTCACCCACTCTCGAGACTAACAGGTAAGAATGTTGCTTATGCGTGGTGTGAGAAATGTGAGACTGCGTTCCAAGCCTTGAAAGAGGCATTGGTGAGTCATTCTGTGCTCCGCATTGCGGATCCCAACCTCACATTCATAGTCACTACGGACGCGAGCTAGTTTGGGATTGGTGCAATGCTGCAACAAAATGATGGTGATGGCCTGCGTCCGCTCGAGTATTACAGCAAACCCATGCCCAGCCACAAGGTAGCTACCTCCACGTATATGTGTGAGCTCTACGCCTTGCGCGAGGCGCTCGCACATTGGAAGCACTACCTCTTGGGTCGTCACTTCAAGGTCTATTTAGATCATCAGACCTTGCAGTGGATTCAAACACAAACTGATCTCTCTCCTACATTGACCCGCTGGTTGCATGACATTGATGTCTATAGTTTTGAGTTGAAACACAAGAAAGGTTGTTATAACCGTGTTGTTGATGCTCTATCACGCCATCCTGAGTTTTTGACTTGCCTGGTGGGTTCGTATGACCTCCGAAGGAAACTGAAGGAGGATCTGGTCGAACACACCGCCAAGGATCCGTACCTTAGTCCCATCCTTGAGCAGCTCAAGGCTGACCCTAACAATCAGCCTGATTTTCATGAGTGCGAGGGTCTTGTATTCCGCTGGTATGGGAAATTTGATCGTTTGTGTGTACCCACCTCTCCGAACTCATTTCTTGGATTTAGCACATGGTCGGAGTGGGCATTTCGGCTTTGAGAAGACTTATGGAAGTCTTCTGCAGCAGTTTGATTGGCCGGGAATGAAGGGATCTGTTCATAAGTTCATTGCTGAATGTCAAGTATGTCAAAGAACCAAGGTCCACAGGCATAAGCCTTATGGCCTGCTGCCCCTCCCCATTCCTGATGGTCCCGGTGAGTCAATTTCCATCGACTTCACGGACATGGGAAAGGTGAGTGAGGCAGGGAACTTACAAGTCATGGTCATTGTGGACCGTTTTTCCAAATTTCTGAACTTGATTCCTTTCCCTCCTCATGCCCCAACTGAACTTGTCATCGAAGAATTTCATCAGCAGTATTTTCTGCAGTTTGGCCACCCGAAAACTATTGTGAGTGATCGGGACACTAGATTTATTAGCAAAGATTGGAAGGACTTCACCTCGCAGATCTATGACATTAAACTCAACAAGACTTCTGGTCGACATCCCGAAGCCAATTGATTGGCCGAGGAAATCAACCAGACTGTCATTCATCTACTTTGTGCGCTAATTGTTCCAGATGAGAACACGTGGGACAAGGAGTTACACAAAGTGAAAGGATTGTACAACAACTCCATTCAGTCTGCAACAGGTGTGACACCGAATCAGCTGCAATACGGATGGCAGTTGCGCAATCCTCTCTCCTATATGTTCCTCGAACGATCACCTGGTCTGACGCCCGGCATGCCTGGCTACAATGCCAAGTACGGACGCCTGCTCAAAGCTGCTATTGCAGCAATGAACAAGCGTCAACATGCCATGATCAAACATGCGAATAAGTCGCGCAAAGAAGCGAATTTCAAAGTAGGGGATTATGTCTGGGTCAAAATGTTTGAGTTTTCTGATGAAGAGGGCGTATCACGGAAGCTTCTTCCATTGTACTATG